ATATATACTTCCCACGGTCATTCTGAAAGGTCCCACCATGCACTGCGTCAAGCAGGTGCGCCTGACTAATATTTGTCGAGGGAGTTACAAAATGTCTGCCGGCGAAGTCAAGCAGTTTGAACAGTACTGTTCGGGTTCTAATCAGTCTTCGTTACGTGCTTCACACTTGGAATCTATTGCTGTATTTAGGAGATTTTTAAGCAGCGTTTTTCAATTCAGAAATGCCTTCCAGGAGTGTGTGCAGTCTGGCTTTCCTCGTTTCCACGAGAGATGGAAGTTCGCAGGAAGAATGTTATCTCAGTTGTTTACAACCGACAGCCTTGATAGGCCATTTATTCAAAGACTATTTAGAAGGCTACATCCGGGAGGTACTACTGTAAAATGGATATTATCAACCTTAGTAAAACCTGGCTCAGTTGACACAATTTACAATAACAAGCTAATATTTTCTCGACCTTGCTTGAGCTATATAGCTCGGAAGAAGATCCTGTGAACTTGATTTAGTGCGGATATCCTCCTCTTCAGATCTCTTCAAGGAAACGTGTTTCATAGTTGGTTATTTCAATGGAAAAGATGTTCGATCTATAATTCAATCATCGATTTGCTGTTCATCGCGGTTTACAAATCTGATTGTTGACGACGTGTGTAGTAAGCAGTAGCAACAGTGGAGAAGCGCCAATAGCTTTGTAGGTAAGATCTTACATAATTCCGCAAATACTGCTTTGATCGTGATTTAAGCTGATTTAAGACAAAAGAAAGTTGTTTTTTTTACAGGAATTAATTTACAGGTCCTGTGGCATTCTAGCCCTTTTATCATGTTTGTTTACAGTTGTTTGCCATTTTTCTGTGACATTTTCTTTTTTAGGCTAACATTAAGAAGTTGTTGCATTTTTTGATTTTCTAGACAAATAAAAAAATGTTCATATATATGTTTGGTGAGAGTCATGAGTTTCTTGGTTCCAATAAACCAGCCATGGAAAACGAGAAACTCAATTTTTTTTTAACGACACTTGGTCTTGTATGATTTCAAAATGCCAGTCTTGACATATAATGACTTACGTCTTTAATCACATTTATTCTATTAAATGCAAATTAAGGTTTTAACTATGTAAAGAATAAACTACAGATAAGCAGAAATTTATTCAGAAAGTGTTTGAAACGTACACTATTTGAAGGTGAAATAGAATTTAAGGTGGGAATGCTGAATCTGTATGGGTATATAATACAAGCATCTTGGCAATTCTCAAATTTCTACATGAGACATGTTACCATGATTGTGTTCAGAGAAGATTACCTCTCTTTATGTTACCTTTTTTTATTGTTTCCATTTAAAATGAATGGTAAAAAGATCATAATTGTGATTGCTATTTTTCATTTTAAATGGTATAGGTAATCATATGAATGTGAGTGTAATGAAGGATTTATACAGTAACTACAAATGATATTTGGAAATTTTCTCAGAATTGCTAACTGAGTTTGTAGGCAAGTCCAACTTAAAAACAATTTCAAATATCACAAGTAGAGTATAATTTTTATCATGGCTCAACCTTTTATGCAATGCGCAGTTCCAAAAAATATCGATACTCCCCCCACAGAAGGGATTGGAATTTCCTGGGGGGTAGGGGGTTCTGGAAGGCCAAAAGATTTAAAGAAATGTATGAAGCTTAACTGGAATTTTCAGAGGGGTGGGGAGGTGTTAGAAAAAATCCCTTACGTGGAGGAGGTATATATAGATATTTTCTGGAACTACACAATTACTAATTAAATTGAATTGCCTTGGTTAAATAGTAAATTTTATTATATGACTGAGAAAAATTAATTATAAATGCTTCCAATCAATTTGCTCTACAGAGCAAGTTAAAAATAATTGAATTTGCCTGCTCTTCACCAATCACAGTGAAGTAATTTTCTCAGTCATATAATAAACAGTCAAGCCAGATGTTGCTTTCTGTTCATTCAAGTTTCCAAGTTTCACTTGCATTTTGATGACTTCTAGTTTTCATTCTTTGTGTATAAACTGATATAATACCACCTCATATGATCAACCATGGTGGACTGTTTAATTCAACATACAGCATGCTTGAAAATTTAAATTTGCTCAGCAGGTTGTGGCTGGCATTTTCAATATTGAATGTGTTTCCCAGTTTCATGGTCATGTTACATGTAACATAACATGTCAAAAATAATGATATTATTGTTACTGTTGGAGTTTAGTTATAATCAATCTGTTCAGTAGTAGGTAAATTACCTTCACCCTCTGACACAGAAATGGTGTAGTAATTTATAATTATTACACAGCGACCATGAAAAAATGAAAACCAGTGCTAGTCAAAATGAAACTGAAACTTGTAAAAAATAATATATTTAGGAAACTTGGCAGAATTAAAACTAAATTGGGAAACTGCCAATCAGTATTTAAACAATGTGCTGAGACTGTGACATTATAGAGAAATTAGCATTAAGAACAAACATGTAGTTTGACTGTAATTTGCACATCACCTTATCGCTGTGTCATATAATTTATTTTTTGGTTGTTTCATTTTTGTTAGTGAAAACTGCACCTTAGGATCTTGGTACCTTGAAGTCCTCAAGCAAGACTAACAAGCAAACTTCATCAAAGTCCACTATGACCAGTGTCATCGACTCAACACCTCGCAGATCCAGAAAAAAGCTTCCTGACATCCCCCCTGAGGAGCTAGCATTACATGGGAAAACAGGATCATTTGAGGCTGGCAGTAAACAGCATGATCTGCCTCCTGAGGTGCAGGCCCAGTTTATTAGGCATGTGCATAAAAGGTCGCGTTCACTGACAGGTTTGGATACTGTTGAGTTTGAGAGGAAGCAACAGGTTGAGGCTGAGAAAGAAAATGTGGAGCCAAAAGCACATCAGCAAAATGCAGCAGCACCACAGATTGAACAGCTGAATGAAAAAGAAGACGGAAATGAAGGTTTTGCGAGATCCTTACCTTCAACTCCAGGTATGCTAACATACATTCTTAGGGGAGTGGAGGGTTCTAAAACTGATGGTTCATTATTTGTGGGGATGGCTAGTTAAGAATATAATACAGTATTACCAGGTACTAGAATCTCATTTTATGGCCATGGCATAAATTCATTAAATCAGGAAGAAGAAAAAATTCTAAAAAAATAAAAATAGAGTGATGCTAGCAATTTTTTATTATTTAATCAAATAATAAACATAGCGTTTATTATTCATTAATGTGTCTGGAGAAAGCTTGGGTGAGGGGTAACCCTCAACTAATAGGGGACATCTAGCTAAAAATAAGTTACAGAAATAAATGCCCTTGTTATTTTTGTAGGGGAGTCTACTCCCAGGAATTAGATTGATATACATTTTGATTAAAACTAAAGGGTACTACAGTGAGCCTAACAACAGTCATTTTAGATTTTAGCTCAGAAACTATAATAAACAAAGTTTACTTCCTGAATGGTATGGCAAGCATGCCTGTTATTTTTATAGGAGAGTCTCTTTGAATGAGGACTTGGTATACATGTTAGATATTAGAAGTTCTTAAAAATTCTTCAAGTCTATGTATTTAATAGTATCGTACTTTTCACTGAGCCTGTTTTCAAGTCTGTGTCTGAGGTCACAAACATTTTGTTCTTAGTTTCTCGCCGTAAATTAAGTTCAAGTTCATTGAAATCAGAGGAAGAAAAAGAAGAACTAGTGAAAGAACTCCGCTGGCACTACAAACAATTTGTGAGAGCATCTAAACGGAATAAAGGAAAACTGGTCCATGTAAGTAGTAACTTATCATTCACAACAGGGCTTTGTTACTGTCATACAATATTTTAATTATAGGTATAGGTGTAGGTATTTCCCTTGAATCTTTTCTCTTCTCCAATACTAGGTTAGCATTTTTCACCAGTATGCATAATTTTATACTCTCAGGTGGAGTAGAGAGAGGCAGTGTGAGAGTTAAGAATTTCACTTAGGGATAATAGTAATACCTTTCATCAAACAACTAACCAGCCAGGCCCATCCATATCAATATTTCTTCACTCTGGAGTCTTCAAGTCCTTATAAGAAAAATATATTTCCTGAGAGCTCCAACCCTTAATTAAGTAAGCTTTTAATTACATTATTGATTATTTTAATATAAGATTTTATAAAATCTGTTGTTCCAGCCTATGTTTTGTTTGTAAATGAAAAGACAAATTACTGTGCTTGTGGATTTGCATGGTTATTCTTGTTTTATTTTATATTTTCCAAAGGCCAGTGTTGGAGATGATAACACAAGTGTTTTGAGTTTGGAAGGAATCACTCTTAGTGAGGTAAAATTATATGATCTCAGGTTATTGATTTGCTATAAGAAAGAATTAAAAGAAATCAAGGCTCCTGTAAAACTTGATCAGTTAAAAAAACTTTGCCAGAAGAGACTCAGTTGTAAGTTTTTATTGGCGTTAAGGAATAGCACAATAACTGAATCATTTGTTTGGCAAATCATAAAGTGTTCAAAACTCAACTGGAGCCATAAGTAAACATTAAGGTTTCCCTGCAACATTTTGAACATTTTATGGCCTCATTCCTGAAGTCTATGAGAGTGAAAATCATGTCATTAGTGAATGGGGTGTATGTTGTATTTGTCTTCCCTAAAAGTACGGAATGTCTGAAAATTTACCATTGAATTAAAAGTAAAATTATGTGTCATGAAAATGTCAGGTTGGTGGTATATTCCTTGTCTATACATAATATTGAGCATATTTCTTGACCAATAAGCATGGGAGAATTCTGCTAGTTATTCTCAACAGCCAAATTATACTTGTAAATATTATTAATTAATAAGCTGATCAACAATATCATTGAAAAAAAAATAATAAATGGTTACTAACATCATAATTGTTACTATTTATTTCTAATTTGTATCATTATTTTTAATAACAATTTATTATTTGTTTTTAACTGTTTTGTAGGTCAGCTCTCAAAATGAGCACACTCCCAACACCTCTGTAATCTGGACGAATCGATGTGACCAGCAGAAATGTGGCAAGCCAGTGGAAATTCTTGAGCGTATGGCAGTGGAAAATCATATTTTTCACAAAACCTGTTTTGTTTGTGCTATATGCAATTCTTGGTTGAACCACTTCAACTATTGCTATGTTCCTGATCATGACAAGTTCTACTGCACCCAGCACTATCAGGACATAGAGAACGCCAGCTTTGGTTTGGGAGAGGATATTCGGCATGCTATGGGGATTGGACCAGGGGTACAACAACAGTTCAAATTTACACCAGGTTTGATATTACACTGTATATACAATTCTGTGTTAAATTTAAAGTGAAACGTATAGAATGTTGCCATGTGTTGATGTGAGTGAGTAGAGCAAGTCACATTTACTTAATATTCATCTTCTTTTTGCATGGACCTCGTGGAACGCATGACTCATCCTTGATCATTGGTAATTCTATGTTAGATGCTGTGGATGGTACAAGAGAAACTAAAGGTGCCAGTAAGGTGCAGAATTCTATCAGGATTATGAAAGAAAAAATATCACTGCTCAGCAAACGAGGAAAGAAACTGGTGAAGAAAGAGAAGAAGCTCAAATCACAGCTTGACAAGTTTAAAGGTGCATAGTAGTTTCATTGACGTTATTTGTAACATAGAAATGATTTTTTTACCCACGTATTTCTGATGAACTGGAATGAAAGCTGTATTCCTTATTAGATCTCAAACATGAGAGCCTGGGGAGACCTACAAGGGAAAGGGTATATACCTGTGTATAGTTCACTTTTGGTTTTACACCTCTCAGGGTTATTATAGACAAGAACGAATAGAGTATTACCTATCAAGTCAATAATTAAAATTCTCTGATTTTGTTGCCAAGGCCCTGATGCAGAAAAGCAGACATTATGGGTGGAGTGGTTTAGTGCTGTACAGGATAAGAATAGCACTGTACGAAGAGAAACTGAACTTTCATTTAAGTGAGTAAATTTTATTTCAGCTTAAGCTCACTAAAGGAGATTTTCTTGACAACATTGTTTATCCTTACCATGCATAGTTTCAGGCTTTTTTAGGTGTGCAAACAGAACAGGGATTGTTCTGAATTTAAACTGAATTGTTCTGAATTTAAACTCTTTTAACATTGGGATTTATTACATGTGGCATTTAACTTTCTCATGATGATACTCTTATCAAAAAATGTCTCTTATCATTTTTGTTTTTCTTTAATTTTATAAATATTATTTATAATGGTTTCCTATAATTTGTAACTGCACTAATGCTAGGGTCAGAGAGTTGGAACTGGAAGAAAAATATTCTGAGTTGGAGAAAAAGCTGCGACAACTAGCAGAGAAGGATGGTAAGTAATATTTGGACAATTAATAGGTAATAAGACGACATGCTAGTTCAATTTGGAAATAGGTAAGATAGAACTCCAAGCCCTGCCAAACTGGACTCTACCCATAGCCATGTCCAATTTTGGCAGTCCTGGGATCTTTTTTCATCCAATAATTTTCAAAGTGGACAGCATGTACATGCAGGCCAATTACATCAGCAAATATATAGGACAGCATTTTCTGACTTTCAACCTATGTTCTTGTCAATATTTGTGGTACTGGGTGATGAAGAGTATTATAGTAGATGTAGGTGTAACCTGTGTAGACTTCACTATCTCAATGTGTCTCTCGATATAGTGAAAGAGAGCATGATTGCAGGGTAGGATGAAACAATGAATGTGTACAACAACAGCCTGGTGAATAACTGGTCACTTTGCATACTATGAAAACCAGAATTGAAGTCTGACATTCATGAACTGTGAGGCTCCTTTTATACCTGGGATTGGAAATACATGTAACAGGTTTTCAAACAATAAATGTTAATTTCAATTGTTAACTAATACTTTGTAAATTAATTTAGAAAAGATAAAGACTGAGTATGACAAGTCTAAAGAAAAGGAATTGTTACAAGAAATGCTTGAGGTTGTTGAGAAAAGAGAGCAACTAATATCTGATGTGGAGGATGCCAAAAAAAGGTAAAGTGGCACCAGAATAGTATTAAATAAATAATGCATATCAACAGTTAGCTGTTTAAACACTCACCTGTTTTGTGTTCTTGGTCTAATTTTATTTCTCACACACCACTGGTAGCCATGCCAGGCTGACCACCACATCTTGACCTTTATTGCAGTTCTGTGCTCTTGTACCTGTACACGAGAACTAATACAAAAGACCTAACAAACATACAACAGCTAAAAAAAGGCTCACAAAGAAAGACAGTACAATGAGTTGAATGGTTATTCCCTTAGTGAACTGGTACACCAGGACACAACTTTTACTGCAAACTCAACTAAAGTATATGTGTACTTCATGCGTGAAATTAAGAGGGTATTACACCATAGGCAAGTTTTGTAGATACGACAAACAAAATATACAGTACCAACTAGAATTCTTTGGGTGGGTGGGTGGCAAAAGATCAATAATGGCAAATGTAACAAAACCAACTGTCTGCCAAAGGTCACATGACCCATCCCAGGCCCCAGTGGTGTGGGAGAAAAATATTTTCCACTTATTTCGTTTCACTCAGCCAGTGAAAAATAACATGTTAGGGATCAGTTATTACACAATCATACTTTTTGATCTTTACCTTAAAATGATCTTGTAATTTTTCAGGTATGCTGAAGAAGACAAAGAGATAGAAAGGGAGAGAAGAGAAGCAGGTAAAAATAATATTGTTGATTGCTGATTGTTTATCATTTCAATGTCTTCTCACTAGACTTGGATTGTCATAAGTAAGATGGCACAAGAAACATGTAAGAAGGAATAAAGATAACTGTTTAATGGGCCATTCATGGTAGTTGTATTCAACACATGCACAATTTTTTCGAGGCATTGCATACAAAGTCTGTAGACCATGATTCCATCTAGGTACCAGCCACCACTCCTACTATGTGCCCAAGTAGACTAGTTAAATTAGTGGTAGAAATTAAGGGACATTTTGTCTAACAAGACACTCCTTAGTTTACTCCCTTATAGAGTCTCATGAACATTCCAAAACAGCAAATTAATCGTCAATCATACATACAGTCAAGTCATACAATTATAATTCAATTCCAGAAGATATAAAAAAATTTAAGAAGGTGCAATATTTTATGAACTGGGGTGTCGCAGTTAGTACGTGGACACTGAGGAACTGATTTCACATGGGGAGAATGCTTATAGGCCTTCTGTTTCAATTCAGGACTCAATGATCCTGACATAGTAAAGGAGGTAACTGCTGTTGGAAAGGAAGTCCAGCAAGTGTCACAAGCTGTCCAGCAGGCTCCAAGTGCTGTCAAAAAGCAAACAGAGTGCTGTATTTTGCT